AACCCAAGGTTGAGAAGGGACAGGGTTGACATGTCGTAGGGTTAACCATTGTTATAAAACAATATTTGTACTGTTTAATGAGAAACTATTCTGTAAACCTTCGTCTAAGGTACAGTACAAAAATAAAGAGATCTTTTGCAGCAAATTTGCCCAGCGCAATACATTGTTTTATTTCTTGACTGCTGCTTGCATGGGCGTTGATTGTGGATCCAAGTAAAATGAAATCCTTGACAACTTCAATCTTTATCATAATATTGCTTGTTGGTCCACTTGTGAGGATTTTTGTTTTCTTTATGTTGAGGTGCAGTCCATACTGAAGGCTGTAGTCTTTAATCTTCATCAATAAGTGCTGAAGTCCTCTTCACTTTCAGCAAGCAGGGTTTTGTCATTTTTGTATCGCAGGCTAATGAGTCTTCCTCTAATTCTGATGCCACATTCTTATTTATACAGTCCAGCTTCTCAGAGTATTTACTTGGCATACAGATTGAATAAGTGTGGTGAAAGGATACACCCTGATGCACACCTTTCCTGACTTTAGTTCACCCAGTATCCCCTTGTTCTGTTTGAACGACTGCCTCTTGTTCTATGTACATGTTCTTCGTGAGCACAGTTAAGTATTCTGGAATTCCCATTTTTCGAAATGTTATCCATAATTTGTTATGATCCACAGAGTCAACTGCTTTTGTGTAATCAATATAACATAGGTAAACCTCTTTCTGATATTCTCTGCTTTGAACCAAGATCCATCAGATATCAGCAATGATATCCCTCATTCCGTGCCCTCTTCTGAATCTGTCTTAAACTTCTGATAGTTTCCTGATGATGTACTGCTGCAACTGCTGTTGAATGATCTTCAGCAAAATTTTACTTGTGCGTTATATTAATGATATTGTTCGATAATTTCTGCATTCTGTTTGATCACCTTTGGAATGGGCACAAATATGGGTCTCTTCCAGTTTATTGGCCTGGAAGCTGTCTTTCAAATTTCTTGACATAGATGAATGAGCACCTCTAGTGCTGCATCCATTTGTTGAAACATTTCATTTGGTATTTTGTCAATTCCTGGAGGCTTATTTTTCACCATTCCCTTCAGTGCAGCTTGGACGTCTTCCTTCGGGACCATTGGTTCTTGATCATATATTACCTCCAGAAATGGTTGAATGTCTACCACTTCTTTTTGGTACAGTGACTGTGTATTCCTTCCATCTTTTTCTGATACTTCCTGAGGCATTCAATAATTTCCCCATAGAATCCTTCAGTATTACCACTCAAGGCTTGAATTTTCTCTTCAGTTCTTTCAGCCTGAGAAATGCTAAACATGTTGTTACCTTTTGGTTTTTTAACTCTAAATCTTTGTACATTTCAGTATAATACTTTGTTTTCTTGAGCTGCCCTTTGAAATCTTCTGTTCAGCTCTTTTACTTCATCATTTCTTCCTTTACTTTAGCTACTCTACGTTCAAGAGCAAGTTTTAGAGTCTCTCCTGACATCCATTTTGGTCTTTTCTTTCTTGTCTTTTTAATGACCTTTTGCTCTCTTCATGTACTGTGTCCTCGATGTCATTCCACATCTCGTCTGGTCTGGTTGTTAGTGTTTCAGCGTGTCAAATCTATTCTTGAGATGATCTCTAAATTCAGGTGGAATATACTCAAGTTTGTATTTTGACTCTTGTGTACTTGCTCTAATTTTCTTAAGCTTTCAGCTTGAACTTTCATATGAGCAGTTGATGGTCTGTTCCACAGTCGGCCCTTGGCCTTGTTCTGACTGATGATACTGAGCTTCTTCATTGTCTCTTTCCACAGATGTAGTCGATTTGATTCCTGTAGTCGATTTGATTCCTCGCTATCTGGCGAGGTCCACGTGTATAGTTGTCGTTTATGTTGTTGAAAAAAAAAGTTTGCAATGTAAGAAGTTGTTGGTCTTGCAAAATTCTATCATGGGATCTCTGGCGTCATTTCTAGCACCAAGGCTATTGTCTTAGTCATCTAGTGCTGCTGTAACAGAAACACCACAAGTAGATGGTTTTAATGAAGAGAAGTTTGTTTCCTCACAGTTAAAGTAGGCTAAAAGTCCAAATTCAGGGTGTCAGCTCCAGGGGAAGCCTTTTTCTCTCTGTCGGCCTTCTTCTCTTCAGTGATCCCCCGGACTAGGAGCTTCTCTGCACAGGGACCCCAGTCCAAAGGACGCGCTCCGCTCCCGGCACTGCTTTCTTGATGGTTTGAGTTCCCCCTGTCTCACTGCTCACTTCTGTCTTTTATATTTCAAGAGATTGCCTCAGGACACAGTCCAGTCTTGTAAATTGAGTCCTGCCTCACTAACACAACTGCCGCCCATCCTCCCTCATTAACATCATAGAGGCAGGATTTACCACACATGGGAAAATCACACAATACCGGGAATCATGCCCAGCCAAATTGATACACACATTTTTGGGGGGACATAATTCAAACCATGACAGCCATATTTTCTAACTACCAATTCTTCATTTCCAACTTTTGCATTCCATTCACCAGTAATTATCAGTGTGCTTTGATTGAATATTTGATCAATTTCAGACTGCAGAAGTTGGTAAAAGTCTTCAATTTCCTCATCTTTGGCGTTAGTGGTTGGTGGGTAAATTTGAACAGTCGTCGTATTAACTGGTCTTGCTCGTATGCATATGGATTTTATCCTATCACTGACAGCATTGTACTTCAGGATAGATCCCAAAATGTTCTTTTGACAATGAATGTGATACCATTCCTTTTCAATTTGCCTTTCCTGGCATAGTAGACCATATGATTGTCTGATTCAAAATGGCCAATACCAGTCCATTTCAGCTCACTAATGCCTAGGATATTGATTTATGTGTGTTCCATTTCATTTTTAGACAACTTCCAATTTTCCTAGGTTGATACTTCGGACATTCCATTTTTCAATTATTAATGGATGTTTGTAGCTCTTCTTATTTTGAGTTGTGGCACTTCAACAAATGAAGGTTTACTCCATCCACGTCATTAAGGTGGACTCTACTTTAAGGGAAGCCCTGGTGGCGCATTGAGCTGGGCTGCTAACCAGAAGGTCAGCAGTTTGAGTCCACGAGCCACTCCTTGGAAACCCTATGGGGCAGTTCTGTATTCTGTAGGATTGCTATGAGTCACTTCTGATTTGACGGCACATAACAACAACTACTTTGAGGAGGCAGCTCTTCCCCAGTCTTTTGAGTGCCTTCCAATCTGAGGGGCTCATCTACCAGCACTATACCAGACAATGTTCTGCTGGTATTCGTAAGGTTTTTCCCTGGCCAATTTTTTCCGAAGTAGACTGCCAGGTCATTCCTAGTTTCTCTTAGAAATGTACTTGTCAAGAAGTTAGTCTCTAAAGCACATTGACCTGCATTCTGACCCTGGCTCAGCAACATACCTTTTGGGCAGTATTGAATGTGTGATTGATTGTAACTTTCCTCAGCTATAACCCATTTGGAGCAATATCTACTTAGGAGAGATATGAGAAATAAATGAGCTAGTGTGGGGAAAGCTTTTTGCAAATCCCTTTAAATATTATAGTTGCTCAATAAATGGATATATTTTGGATTTGAAGTTAGAGTTTTTAATGGCCTTAAAATATGTAATCTGTAGCACTGCAGTGGAGAGGACTTTTGAATGTGGCACTGGATCAGTGTTGGCTGTGACACTATCATGCCAGCATTGATTAGGGATGACCTTGACAGCTCACTTTGCCCCATAGCCTATCTGTTCTATAGCTGCTTGGCTGTTCAGTAAAATTTTAGCATTGAAAGTAGAGTGTAGCAGCCTTTTGTGTCCTCAGTACATGTGGGAGGTAGAGGGTTGATGTTATTTTACAGAGGCCAGTCCTGCAGCCCAGACGATGTCGGTGGTCAGGGTTCAGGTGGTCATGCTTGCATGCCTTCCAAGGGCTGAACACGTGAGAAGATTTTGGAGTGGAGCGTTTAGAGGGTTTTTGTTTAAGTCAAGGATGCACGAGCAGTTTAACAGCTAAATCTCCTGCACATCAATGAACTTAATAGAAAATTTGAATCTTAATCTCTTGTCCACTGTCAGCAAACACAAGGACATGCTATTCTGGTTCTTCAGAGGTTGAGCTCTTTGTCATCTTGTAACGTTGGCATGTTTTTGTGTGGGTGTCTGGGTGTGTGTGTGTTGGAGAGTCACTAATTGCTGTACAGTAGCTTTGGGTCTCAAAGATTGAAAATTCTGATGATACCTAGATGCTTGTTTCCTGTCTTTCAGTTGAGCTCCATTTACCTTTTCAGTACTCTTGTCTGACAGTGCAACTTTAGTGTTATTGAAAAACAGGTGACAGATACGTAAAAATTCATAATTCTCCAAAATATTCTCTTTTCAGCAGGTGATCCTGTCAGCTTTTGATCACTTGGAGTTAAGAAAATACGACAGGCTCAGGGCCTTGGGTTGCCACTTTGTGGAGGCCAGTGTGTCTCCCATGGTTGGTGAGGGGCAAAAAGAAAAATTGCCAGTCTTACAGTGTTTCCCGGTTGTTAATGTCTCATCCTACTTTCACCCTGTGCTTCACGTTTTGTTAAATATTTTGATGGATCCTGTGCAAGGAAGTGAAATTTTTTTATTTTTCATTTATTTTTTACCACAAGGAAGAGATGATCTGAATGTGGAAATACGGCCTTTGTTGTACAGAATTTCTCTGATTTATGCTATATGTTCTTACTGTTCTAGACAATAAAGATAGAGAGGAATGAGATTGAATTGTGGAACTGTGGAGAAGTTCATTGTGTTGGAAGTTTTGTTGAGTCGATGACACAGGATGCAATCAGTGAGAAAGTGAATGCAGACAGTGAAGGGATGAGACTGATAGCTAAACCTTAGAGTAGACCTTAGTAGAACACAGAACCCTGTGTCAAATCCCCATGAAATCTCAGTTCCCCAGGACTGTCAGCCTCACCTTTCCTTTCACACACATTGGAGTACATGGTTCCTTGCTGAACCAGAATATGTGGGATGTTTTAGGACTCAGTGGCTGTTGAGGATGTGGCTGTGGACTTTACCCAGGAGGAGTGGGCATTGCTGGATCTTTCTCAGAGGAAACTCTACAGAGATGTGATGATGGAAACCTTCAGAAACCTGGCCTCAGTAGGTATGGATGGCTTTATTTTATTAAATTTATTTTTTATTGAGTTTAGTCATACTCATCAATGTTACTCCAGTATGTGGGCTGAGGAATGGGAATACATTGTTAAATAAGACAAGTATGGTTATTTGGTCTCTGGAACATGCATATTCTGGCTTCCCCATGAATACAAAGCTCTATGTATTAAACTGACTTCTCCTTTGAATTGTGGTTAAAAGCCTTAAGGCTCTTTAAATGTTGTAAATGTGAGGATTGACTTTAGGGGTTTCTTTGGAGCACAGAGAGAATATTTGTGGTCTGGGACCTTATAAGGAGTCTTACTGTGTTTATTACAAGTTTGACATGATTATTTTGCTACAAATAAATTCATACCTGCCATCTCCAGAGACCCTGAGGGCCAAAGTATTGGCTCAGTGTCAGGGAAGTGTTCATTGCTTCTCCCTGTCTTCCCTAATGATATGGTTCTCCATGAGCACCATGTCAGCTACACACATTTGTTCTCTCAGCAAGAGGAAGACCTGAGGAGAGTGCAGATAGCACTCATCAAGGACCACTGTGTGGGGGTGGGGGGGAAGGGAGGCGCCAGTAGGCAAGAATCCTTTGAGGGACCAAGGCTGCATGGAAGGAATGAGATTTGAAAAAATAAGTTAGAAAAAGTCTCTTTTGGGTTGAGGAGGATGTACTTCACAGATACCTGAGCTTGCTTTTCTGATTTTCATCAGTCCTAACACACCTGGTTCATGGAGAAAGACTGTCCCCTTTTTCTCTTTTAATGTTCCATGTGCATTGTGTCCAATACCTTTCTTCTTTGCTCTTCTAATTACACATTATTTATGTCACCATCACCTTCTATCTTCATGGAAGTATTTCCTAGTAAATTGCTTTTTGACCATTGCCAAAGTACTGAAACAGCAAAATGTGTCAGAGTGTTTCCTTGTTCACAGCTACCTTTTCCCTCTGAGTAATTTCTATCCTTTTTGTTTCATATTATGAACCTCGCATTATATCATTGGGTCAGTTTCTCGAAATCTTAATGATGGAGAAAAGCTATCCAGTGAAAATATAATAGTGCAATTCATGAGAAATGACACCTGGTCCTCGATGGTAGGAGAAATCCATGAATTTCATAGCACTGAAGATCAGAATAACAACCAGAAAACACATGTGAGGTGAGTATCATTTACATGAGAGACAGCAGTGCTTCAGAAGAGAGTCTTAAGAAGATATCATGACATTAAAGTATTTATATACCTAAGGAGCTCAGGTGGGACAAATGGTTAAACACTTGACTGCTAAGCAAAAGATTGGCAATTCGAACCCACCCAGTACCTCTGCAGGAGAAATACCTGGCAATCTGCTTCCATAATATTTACAGCCAAGAAAACCCTATGGGGCAGTTCTGTTCTGTCACATGGGGTCACTATGAGCTGGAATCGATTCGATAGCACCTAACAACAACTATATATATAAATACACATATGCACACACACACGTACATAGATATATATATATATTTACACATACACATAAACTGATTGCTGTCAAGTCTTTTCCTACTTGTAGCTACCCTATAGGACAGTAGAACTGCCCCATAGGGTTTCCAAGGTTGTGCCTTTATGAAAGCAGACTGCTACGTCTTTCTCCTGTGGAGCTGCTGGTGGGTTCAAACCACCAACCTTTTGATTAACAGCTGAGCGCTTAACCACTGCACCACAAGGGCTCATTTATATATATACGCCTACTCTTCACTTATCAACATGATTAGGTTCCAAAGACTAGGTTGTTATGCGAAAATGGAGGTTTTTTTTCCTCTTTTCAGACCATCTATTTGTCTGATTCTTTATCAAATATGATCATAGAAACAACAGCTAAGATTTGCTAATGTACTTATCACTGTGACAAGTCCAGTTATGGAGTATTCCTCTGCAGAGAAGGAGGCTTGGAGGAGGCAAAGCTGGATAAAGCCAGGCTGTGTGACTGGAGGGCTCACGGCTTAACTGCTTCAGCTTCCTCTTTTGCTGGATAAGAGTTTCCCTCAGGGAGCCACCTCCAGAGCTCTACTCCCACCCCTGCAAACCTTGTGTTCATGATTCTGGAGTGATCCTGGAGCCTGCCCTGTCCTCTGGTTCTGGCAAGTCACTGAGGCTCAGGGCTTCCTGCAAGGGCACTGAATGCTTGGCCGTGCACCCGACCCCACCAGGCAGAGGCTTCAGATCCAGTTCAACTCACTTTGGGATGTCATTAAAACTTGCCTGCATTTTTTCCAGACACCCTCTTTGATGCCTCTTACTTTTCTCGTTTCCCAATCCATAGCAATTTTGAGTCTCAGGGTCAGGCCACATAGGAGATAGAAACCCAGAAGAGGTGCCCGCTGGCTCAATGATGACTGTACATCTGCCAGGAGGCCGTGGGCACACAGGAAGGTGCCCAGAAACCTGCCTCATTAATGCCCAGAATAGATAGTAGATTTTTTACTATTAAATGTTAAGTGTCGGTTAATGAGATAGTTGATAAGTGAAGAGTAACGTGTATACATACGTACATACGTGTGTGTGTCTGTGTCTGTGCGTATCTATATTTCAAATGTGTTGCTGTTGATATTCTGACTCGTGCTGCTGGGTGAGTTTAAATCACCAATCTTTAGATTCTAGTTGAGCTCAAACCTTTTGTGTCATCCAGGTATCTTACATATGTATATAAAACCAGATTTAATATTGTGTGTTTGTAGAATTTTTACAGTACAATATTTTCGTAAATGTGAGTCAGATATTGAATATTTGAAACATATTTCACTTATATATAATTATCACAAAGCCTAGTATTTTAGAAACACTGAAAATAATGGTCGCATCTCTGCCAGATGATTTAATCTATGAAACATGAGACAATTCAGGGCAACAAATACATGTTTGCTGTGTATGGTAATGGTGAAATGGTACAAAAAAAAATCGTGTCCAACAGCATGCTGCCTATTTTTAACAGAAGGCATATGGTAGAGGACTTCTGTGAAAGTAATGAAGACAGTCAGTGTGGACAGACCTTCAGCCGTATTCCAAGTCTTTCTGTGCTCGAAAGAACTGCTATGGAAACATATCCTTCTGAATGCCTTGAGTGTGGAAAGTCCTTGATGGATCATTCATCACTTAAGCATCATATCAAATCTCACTCTGGATGCAGTGTCTATCAGCATAAGGAATGTGGAGACCCCTGCAGTTGTTCCTCTTACCTCAGTACTCCTGTGAGAACTCTTACTGGAGACAAACCCGTTGAGTATAAGGAATGTGGCAAAGCCTTTCATCATTCCTCAAACCTGACTAGAACTGTGAGAACTCACTTTGGAGAGAAGTCTTATATATGTAAGGAATGTGGGAAAGCCTTTAGTCAGTCCTCAGACCTGACTGCACATGTAAGAATGCACAGTGGTGAGAGGCTTTATGAATGTAAGGAATGTGGCAAAGCCTTTCGTTGGTCCTCAAACCTCACTATACATATGAGAATTCACAGTGGAGAGAGGCCTTATGAATGCAAGGAATGTGGGAAAGCCTTTAGTCGGTCCTCACACCTCACTACACATATAAGAACTCACAGTGGAGAGAGGCCTTATGAATGTAAGGAATGTGGCAAAGCCTTTAGTCACTCCTCAAACCTCACTGAACATATAAGAACTCATAGTGGAGAGAAGCCTTATGAATGTAAGCAATGTGGCAAAGCCTTTAGTCAGTCCTCACACCTCACTGAACATATAAGAACTCACAGTGGTGAGAGGCCTTATGAATGTAAGGAATGTGGCAAAGCCTTTAGTCACTCCTCAGACCTAACGACGCATATGAGAATTCACAGTGGAGAGAGGCCTTATGAATGTAAGGAATGTGGAAAAGCCTTTAGTCGGTCCTCACACCTCACTACACATATAAGAACTCACAGTGGTGAGAGGCCTTA